AGTGCCGCCAGCGCCGCCGGCTCGACGTCGTCAAGCGCAGCGAGGAAGGCGCCGCCTTCGCAGTTCGGATGCGGGGAGTCTGACGATGCGTGAGGGTGAGGCTACGGTCAATTGAGTCGCACCGCACGCAGCGAGGAAATACTCATCGATGGCGCTTGCACGGTACGACTCGAGTTCGGCAGCAGAGGCGGTGGCGCCGCCACCGTCGGGGCGGGCGGCTCCTTCTCCGTCAGTGCTGCCACCAGCGGGTCGCTTGCCGCCACCGCCCGTGTCGCTCTCCGCCCTCCGCTTGCCCGCGGCGTTGCTCCGCACCGCCTCGACGCGCCGCGGCTCGCGCGGTGCAGCAGACGCCGCCGCCGCCGCCGACGGTGCCGCCGCCGCCGCCGGCGGCGGCGGCCCTCCTCCCCGCTCGCTGGCCACCAGCAGGGATGCTTCGCGAGAGGCCGCCACTAAGACGAGGCCTTGAGCGAGGACTGCGGCATCAGCCACTGGCAGTGCAAGGTACGCCGGGAGGCCGTCTCCTCCCGGACTGCCGTCGGCGGCGTTGGCGTCCTCGAAGCCCAGCGATCGCAGCAGCGCGATTCCAGAGGGGAACTGCCCCAACCGCTGGTGGAAGGCGGCGTTTCCCAACCTGATCGTCCTGAACTTGGCCTCATCCGGCTGCTCGAGGACGTTCTGGAGAAGCGTCTTGCAGGTGTCGAGAGCAGCATCGAACTTTTCGCCCGATTCTGCTCGCAGCGCGCGGACATGAGATCGGAGCGCCTCGGTCATGTTGAGCTATGCCGCGAGGCTCCCAGGACCTAGAGTGGCTCAGCGAGCCGTCTTTTTACCAGGTATAAAAGAGAAGGGCGGAAAAACCAGGTTGCAACCCTTGTTCCGCACTCGGCTGTGAAAGCTGCTGGTTGCCGCCGGTTGAGCAGCACCCCATCCCCGTCCACGTTGTCGGTTGCTGCCCCATGTCCCGCACTCGGGGTGTGTGCTTCTAGCCCGTTCTCGGGAGGGGGGGGGGGGGGGCAAATTTCTAAGAATTTTTTACATACACTAACTGACACCGCAAACCCTGTCAGCAGTCCACCTTCGTTCGGGTAGCGCACCGTGATCCTCGTCGGCATCCGCGCGGGGGTGCCCTGCTGCCGGGCCTGCGCGGCCCGCCACGTAGAGGTGCTATCACAGCGCCAATTTGCCCGCTCTTC